AATCCAAAGTTCTCGATAAAATCGAAGTCTAAATCGAAAGGAAGGTTAACCCGCATAAATATCAAAATCGTGGCCAGATCATAAAGAGGAGTTAAACACGCACATAGGAGACAACTTCTAAATCGTGGCAGAGGTTGAAGATCATGGGAACGTGGGTGCAGTTTTGACACCACAGAAGAAGAAACTGCAACGCGCACAAAGGACGTGGTAGCAGTTTGGTTAACTGCTCCTAGAAGGCTTGAATGATGTCCTATAAATAAAGCAGAGGAGAAAGGAATAAGGGGAGCAGAAATTGGCAGAGAACAGAATCAGTAGTGAAGAGTCTACCGGAGAAACGACGAGCACCATAAAGCTTCTGGCAATCTGGATTTCCTTGCTCACTGAGTACATTTACCGCTTTCTGTATTTTCCTTGGTAATTTACTTTGATGCAACTTAAATTCAGCAGTTTTATGTTTCTGTGTTTTCGATTCCTTGTTATTTCAATTCAATGAAAGTTTAAATTTCTGCATTTAAGTTTCCCTGTCATTTACTTTTCTTACAATCTCGGTTTCCTGTCATTTATATTTGCACTGTTTTCGATTTCTTGTCATTTATAATTAATGTAAATTTGGGGTTTTCGCACTTTACATTTCCTCGCAATTTAATATTCTGTTTCTCGATTCGATATTTTTACTGTATTCGGTATTTTAAATATAAAAAATAGCACTTTCGATATCCTGTAACTTTCGATTCTTATACACGTTTTCGATTGAAAGTCAAATTGCTAGCCTAAGTAAAAAGAACTTACATGGGAGGATTTTGATTAGGACCAAAACACCTTTAGAATCGAAATCGATCGAAATTCCACCAGAAACAAGTATATAATTTTATTATTGAATTTTGATCGAAAACAATAAAAAAGAAATCAAACCAAAAAAGGAAAATAATAATGTTCTACAACATACCTGGGTTAGACTTAAACGTCAAATTAGAAACTCAAATTTAATTTAAACATTTTTAACCAAACTCTAATTATATTTAGGCTGGTTGGTAATGGGTCAAGTAACTCATTTTGTCACCTATTGTTTTGAAGTTACACTCTCTATCTATGTTCTTGCTATTTATTAAAAAAATATAAAACTGAGTAATATAATAAAATAAACTTTTTTTTAAATAGTTAAGAATATAAATAAAAATATGTATCATTTTTTTATTTTAACGTACATATTTATGGTAAAAAATGTTATTTTATAAAATTATTCATACTTAAATAAATTATTATTATTTTTATGTTTCTAATTTTAATATATATATATATATATATATATATTATTTTACTAAAATATATTAAATATAGAAATTATTATAAAAATCAAACAAATAATTTAATATTTTTTATTTATAATCTAATATTATTTTATTAATTTAATTTCAACTAATTTTAGAAAAAATAATTTTATAATAAAAAATATTTTATAACTATATATAAAAGTACATATTATTAAAATAATAAGATATTAATTTAATTTTAAAAAAATTATTAATACAAATTAATTATATAAAAAATTATAATTAAACACATATTTAATTTTAATTTAATTATTTATTATCTTTAAAATTAACATTTTCCTTTTTATTATATATCAATTTTCTCTATAATTTAACAATAACAAATTTCACTATGATTAGTCTCTCTTTTTTTCACACTTTATTTTCTTATTAAACACCCTTAAATTCATGTATCATATTAATAAAAGTGGATTCATTTTGACACCTTTAAATATGATGAAGAAAAATAAAATAAATTCATCTACTTATATTAAAATTTTAAATATAAAATAGAAATCTTGGGTTAAACTAACAAGTGATAAATATTTATTTATTTAATGATTAATAAAAATAAATTTAGATTAGATATTATTTTTAATGTTTTTATGGAGGTCACAAAATTTTTTTAAAGTAATTTAAAAAAAAATAAAAATAGATTCCAACGTGTAAAAACACTCAAGTCAATTTTTAAACAAAAGAATAATATATTTAAAAATAGATGATAAATATGAAATTTACTTAGGAATAAATCTTTTTATATAGATCTAATAATATTAATAATAGTAATATATAAAATATATAAAATAATTAATAAGATAATATATCTTAAAATAATTAAATAAATAGAATACTAAATTTAGATCAATTAATTTACTTGAACATATTTAAGATTATATTTTTCTTATATTTGTTACTCCCTTTATCTGACGTGTCTTGACATCAAAGACATTTTACCTTCAACCTCAATGAAATAACATCTCATGAAACTGACCCGTTTGTGAAGGTTTGTACTTTGTAAAATATATAAAGAAAGATGGATAGATTTTGAATGCTTGCTTATAGGTAAAAAGGGGGATGCAGGGTTTTTTACCTAAAACTTTAATACTTATAACCTGTATTTCTCTCTTTCTTCTTTTAGCATTAGATACTCGCCTACTTAATTTCCATGCGCATATGGTTCATGATTAAAAATTATGATACAGGCTTAACAGGGGGAGGTTTTATCTTCAGACTTCACCCAATCTTGTTATGAACGCAAGTTATTCCAATCCATGAACATCAAATTATTGCACGATTTTGAATAGGTCACCTTAATATATTAGAGTCAATAATTATACCATTGAATACTAGTCCATGTTTGAAGGATTTTTGCTTCATATTACTTTGGCAATCATAGATCCAATCGCTTTGGTAAGTATCTACTCATTCATCCTCTATAGTAAAATGAACTGGTTCATTTATAGAAAAACAACTCTCTCTCTCTTGAATCAACTCAAACTTTTTCATACACAATTATAATAAAGCAGAATCTAAATAATGAGGAGATATAATCTAAATAAAAGACAACAACGTGCGTGTTTAACAAAGATTAATATCTGATAAGAGGACTGATTCTCCTCTGAAACAATCAAATGTATTCGCCGTATGGTACGGGATACATGCACAGCTTACTACAAACGCTGGTTGGGTTATTGGACGTTGAGGTTGGTTACATGCACATTCCCCTCTTCTCAAACCATTATGCGACATGTCTAATCTACCAGGATCGTCATATGTTTGTTTGGACTTTGGAGTGTCCCGAGATTGCAAAACAGTTCGCAAACAAACACGTTGTCGTGCCTTCCTCGAAGGATCCCCCACTCAGAACCCACCTTCGTATCCCAAGTCAATCTCAAGTCAAGCCTCTTGTCACCATCACTTCATTATTCTTAACATCCCCATATTAATGCCACCACACACACTGAATTCCTCCTATTTTTTTTATTTGTTTATGTCTTATACTCAGTCTTAACCTCCGTTGCGGTTACATCAGCTGTAATTTGTTATCATCTAGTCAAGTAAATATGACTATACTTTACAACATTCACACTCTAAAAACTTGTGTATACACAAATACGATTCTTTTGAATTTGGATCTGAAAATTGGAAACTTCCTCGTTGTTTATAAAGTGGTTGTTCCATTATATTTATTGTGCATGCATGACAAACTAGTGTAGCGGATAAATGATTCTAAATATTTTACACTTTCATTTTTTTTTTTTTTTTTTCAATTCGGTGGTCGGCAGAACACGTAGTCAGTGATTGTAATGGACAAGAAACTTGGTCGGTCAACTTCTGCCGACGGTGCTTCTTATGAGTTGTTATAGATTAATGTAAGGTTCACATTAGTTTTCGCGAGAGATTTATATGAAATAATTTAATTTTTTCTAATAGTATATTAATTAAGTTCATGGGCATTTGATAAACGAAAAATAGTCTAAGAATTCGGTGAATAATTTGTAAAAATACAATTGTCAATTAGCGCAAATGAACATAATAACTGTTCTGATACAAAAAAACCACCATTACAGCTTGAAAGTTTGGTATGACTAGTACATCCAAAAGTGTGTTACTACTGTTATTTAATAGAGCCATAATGTGATTGACAAATCTATAACTCTAAATCTTTTGGTTAATAATAGTTAATATACTCGCTCATGAGTCAAGATCCCAAAAAGTATTAGAAAGCTAATCTAGCATATATGGTGATAGAATCCTCAAACAAAAATGAAAAGGAATAAGGTTTAAAAAGCATATAACTTAAACAACAATCAATAGGGTTAAATTACAACATTAAACATGCTTTTCACATGAATCAAGTGTTTTTATTGTACAAACAAAAATTATAGAACAGTCGAACTCTTTCCGTGTCTTGAGCATGCCATTAAAGTATCTTCTTCATGCATTAGTGTGAGCCTTTTCATTTACTAATTGGACACAATATGGAAGGAAATCTATATTATATCATAAAGCATGATTCATGAACATCCCTGACTCAATTTTACGCCATTAACTTTAGAAGTAAAATAACTGGCATGAATCTCTACCGGTAACAAATGTTTGGATAATTACACAGGGAAGGAACTTGGAGGAACCATAGGTAACAAATGAACTATTTATAGAGATAAAAACAATCATCCCTGCAATAATGCAGGAGCAGCTTGACTAAAAAATTGTCAAATTCATAAGACAGAAGAAGCTCACAGTTCAGCCTACTGGTCAATCTAACCGTTATATTAAGTTGACAAATTCTTAGAAAGAATGCTAAATTAGCAGACACTTATAAAATTTTAGACAGATGCATTGATTGAATCATTCTACAACTCCCATTCGTGTAATCATCACAAATTTAATATCTTCAGAAAATAAATAAATTACCAAAATAATAATAATAATAATAATAATGTAAAATTAATTAAATCTATGCTTATTACATCAATCATTCTATGATAAAAAATTACTAAATGTTGTTAATATCCCCTATGCGGGTACAAAAAATTTCAATAATGTCGTCAGATTTATATATACAGAAAAGAATTGGTTACTCTATCATCAGGCACCTTCCTCCAAGGTTAAAACTCACAAACTGCAACGCAATCTACAAGAAACCTGATGCACTACCTCCTTCTGTTGTATTGAACTAATGAAACTTTAAACGTAGTGTTCTAATTTGATTAGCATAACACTTGTATCATCCATAGAGCCTCGTGAAACAGACAAATCTACAAGCTTTTTACAAGCCAGCACTGGTTGTGATTTGTTCCCGACAAGAAAAGAACGAGCAATGTCTACTGCTTCCTGATTACTGACCTGAAAGGATGAGAAAGAGAAACATGTTCAGTTAATCAATCAATACATTGAACACTACTATTCATAAAGAAACTGTGAACATATCAAAGTTAAATGGTCTCAGGTTCTATACCTTATCCCATAGTCCATCTGAAGCTAAGATTAACAAGTCATGCTCAGGTTCAATTCTGAGAACTTTGGTTTCAGGTTCTGCTGTCACCCATTGTTTCAGGTGTCTATCTCCAATTCCCCTAGACACAGCAAGAGATCCCTGGATCCTCCAAACACCGCGGCATAAATCAACATAGCCACCCTACAAGACAAATTCCAATGCTTAAGAACCAACAAATCCAAAATCAAACATGTTCATGTGGTTCAATATCAGAGAAAGTACTATCACATTCAGAAGCTTACCAGGCTCTCAATTCTGTCCCTTTCATCTTCCCTTGAAGGTCTGTGATCGGATGTTAGGGCCTCAGCAACACCTCCTCTGCTAATGACAGCACGGCAATCACCGGCGTTGGACACAACAAGGTTGCCATTCCTAATCATTGCAGTCACACAGCAAGAGCCACCATGGAGATCCTCCTTTAGGAAATCAGAGTCTGTGTTGAGGTACCCACGCTTCACTGCCTCCTCAACTTCATCTTCACCTCTCACAATCACTTCATCTAAGATATTCTTTCCTAAGTTATTTGCAGCAAATTCAGCAGCCTTTGCACCTCCGTGTCCATCAAATATGCCAAATAAAGCCTGCCAGGATCACAAAACAAATTTTTTCGTTAGATTTAATTCCACTCACATCAATCTAACTTGTTAAGTACAAGCATCATCAACAGCCTATTAATCAATCCTACCCTAATTTCTCTGCATCAACTATGTAATCCAAGGGTAAGGCAACCTAGTTAATTCACATACCCAAATATCAATATCCAACACGTTAATCACTGAATGAACTTCTTAACTTCAAAACATCACATTAAAGGCTTTCTCTCTTATTCCCTTCACCAATAGAAGGATCAAACAGAATTGAGTAAGTAAAACACATTTCTCCAAACCGCGTCTAACTATAAATTCATAAAACCAACAAAAACATTCAAAAAAAACTCTCAATCATTTAAATTCTTTAACAAGACAATTCTATCAGATCCAGACCAAATTCAGACAAAAAGATTCAAACTTTCCACAACCCCAGTTCCTAAAAACGCCCCATAATCATAACAGTCGATCTCAACCACTAACCTCACACCCCATCCCCAAAAGAATTTATTTTAAAAGAAAACTTCCTTACCAGTTTGTGTTCACCGCGTAGATTATCCCCAGCGGTGTAACGATCCTCCATATGTTCCCTCCTCCCTCTCTTGCAGTACACCCCAAACCCATCCTCCTCCACCTCGACTACGTCACGCACCGCCGCGGAGGGCGTGGGCGGAACCCCAAAGGTGAGAGAAGAAACGGGTATGTCCAGTCTGGCTGGTCGCTTCCTCTTCAAAACGGCGCCGTTGGGGGACGTGGACGAAGCAGATGACGCAGAGAAGACGGAGGGAGGCTTGGGAAGGCGAAGCCGAAAAGGAGAAGAAGGAGAGGAAGCAGCAGCAGAAGGAGAAGAACAAGAAGAGGAGCAAGACGACGCCGTATTAGAGTTGGAAGGTTTGAGGTGCGAGAGAGAGAGCGAAAGCGATTCGGGCGAAGAAGAGATGATGGAAGGCTTGGAGCAGAAGAGGGAAGAGGAGGGAGAAAAGACCGGCGAATTGGAAACCGCGACGGAGCAAGACATGTTGGAAAAGCCTGTGTTGAGTCAAAATTCAAACGTTGGAATTGGTCTTTGGTGCGTTTTTGAGTTTGATTTTGGTTTTGGTTTTAGGTTTTGTGTGAGTTGGGAGAGTTTGATAAGGGAGGGTGAGGTGTATATAAAGGAAGCGGAATAAAATAGTTTGTTTCTGGGTCAGATTGGAGTCAGTGTGGGCCCCCTCTTTTGCGTGTTATTTGTGAGGCACATTACACACCCATCACACTCAGTTTTATAACGTTCTTTGACCACCTTCCTACGCTTCTGCAATCTCCATTTTACCCCTCCCTTTTTTTCTTTTATGTTGAATAAACTGTAATTTTAGATCAATACGGTTGAAAAATTATCATCATACAAATTCAAATATAAGGGATTAACATCGCTATTATATGATTCCTTTGAGATAAGACGGTATATTTTCTTATCAATGGTCACTCGTAATATCAATATTTCTATTTTTTTCTCTTTATATCACTAATTTATGTCACGATGTTACAATTGATTTTATGATTTTATTTATTTTTATAAATTAATAAAAAAATTATAATTTTATAGTTTAAAATTATTTATATTTTTTAGTCTAATTTAATTTTCAACAAACAAATTAACAAATAAAGTCCGACCTAATTAAAAATTTAAAAATATATTAATATATTTATATTAAAATAATTATTTAAAAATTATTTAAATAAAAATAAAAATAAAATTATTTTTAAAATTTAAATTATATTATTTAATTAATATATAAATTATAAGATAATTAATCATTAAATTTTAAAATAAGAATTAAATTTTTTTTATTATCATTATTTTTATTTTAATAATTTATTAATCTAAAATAATAATTTATTTTTATTATTATATTTTAAAATAAATAATTATAAAAAATTACTTATATTTATTTTTAAAATAAATAAATATTTTATCAAATTAAGTTATAATATATATATATATATATTAAAATTTTATTTTTATTTTTATTTAATAAATTATTATTATTCAATAAAACAAATTAATTCATAAGTTTATAAATTATTAAAACGTAAATTTATGTAAATTATGAATCATCCTAAAATATATTTAATTTAATTTAGATTATAAGTTTTTGAATTTATTCTAATCTATTTTTTAGGTTTATTAAATTATAAATAAATAATATAAAAATTGATGAGAAATAATTATTTCATAGGGTATTAAGAGAAAGTATTATGTTTTTTTTTGTGATAATAAAAAATAAAATAAAAGAAACACTAACTGCGGCAAAAAAATACCTTGACAAAAATTCCAATTATATTTAGATTTTGAAATCTTCATGAATTGTAAAATATGATAAGTTTATTGATTTTGTAGTAGTTAATTGATTGGCAATGTAAAATTTTTTACCTTGATATTATATGATAAAATATCTGAAGTTGTTTTACTTATTGTGAAACAATATATACTTTAAGTAAAATAAGTGTGTAAACTTTTTTCACAATAGTAATACAGTCTTTAAATATTTTGTACGAGCAACGTAACGATAAAGAAAAAAACAAAAATTAGTACTTTATTTACATTGAAGAAAGAAAAGGTAAATGGAATAAAAGTGTAATTTGAACGTTGACTGGAACATGTGTTATTAAAGAGAGAATTGATCTTTAAGCAAAGAAGGAGGATAGGAATGTAATTTGGGGGAGTAAAAGGTGGAGAAAGTTGGAAAAAAAAAATGGAGAAGGGATGTGTGTGAATGAATTAAGAAAAAGGAAAATAAAAATGTTGAAAGAGTGTGTTTTGCTTTGATTAGAGATTTGACTTACCCACTGCGTGTACACTGCGTGCCAAACCAAACCCTAAAACAAAACTCTTTCATTCTCCTTCTTTATTTCTTTCTATTATTAATGTTTGAGTTTTGTTTTCAGACCTTAACTATTATTATTGGGAGTGAGGGACCAGAGAAGCAAGTTCTCAGAAGTTACCGTTGGAGAGAGGACACAACAGATACAACAAACACAGAACCAGAAAATCATTTATTATTATTTGCATGTTTGGTTTCATGACCGTTGCCATCTTCTTCATCACTTCTCAACTACACACGTTCCCAACGTTAACACCACGGTTCCAACATCCAACATTTTTTGTTTTTTTAAGAATTCAACTTGCAATCTAAACTACTTTTTTGTTCATTTTTCAAACTATTCTCTTTCTTAGATTATATCTCACACCTATAACAATTCATTTGTGTTTGTAAAATACAGCTTCCACAAATTTATGTACATAAAATAATAAGGATCATATTCATTTAAGTGTAAGGATGCGAAAGAATAAAACATCATTATTATTTTTATAATATAGTATTTCATTTTAATTTATTAAATTTTTATTTGAATAATATTATATTCTAACAAGTACTATTACGTTTTTTTTGTCTTAGTTTATTTTTAAAGTATGTTTAGTCATTATATTTGAGTAAACAGAGTTGCCATGTTAGTTCTTAAAAAACATATTTTATTTATAAAAAATGGTTTTAAAATTCGTATACGAATAATATTTTTTATCTCGTTACATTAGATATTGATTTTTTTTTGTCAGCAATGTAACAATTTTAAAATAATAAATTAACTCCAGAATAAATTAAATAAAGTTTATAAACTTTTTACGAAATAATTAAAAAATATAAATTGTATGGAAAGAGTCTTAACTTAAAGAACTCAAGCCATTATTAAAGGGTAATGATTTTTGGACAAACTCATTTTTTAAGCATCTATCATGCAACTCTTTTTTAATAATAAAATAATTATAAATATAAAAATCATAAAAATATAAATCTTTTATGTATTATATTATTAAATCATGAATGGTTGTTTTTTATCTTAAAGATAGTCTATCTATCATTTTCCTTCCTTAAAAGATATTAAAAAAATATCTAATATATATATATATATATATATTAGACTTTTTCATAAACGTCCATTAAGTAAAAATTCATTTGAAATAATATATATAATATAAATTTTAAAATATATATTATTAATTGATTATATTTATTAAATTATTTATATTTGACTTAAGTGTCAAAATATTTGTGGAGACACTCTTTTATATATAAGACTTCCTCATCCAAAAAATTTGAAGAATAAACTAAAAAAATTAATTATGACCAGATTAAGAATATATTATAAAAGAATGGAGAATTTGTTATCTTAAGAAAATAAATTACTTATAAATTATATAATAATAAATCTTTAAATATATTTATAAAACCTTTTTTACAATTTTTTTTTCAAAACTTAAAATATAAATATCTGATAAAATAACACCGTCTATAAGGGTAATAAAAGGATGAATAATCATTTAACTTATACTGGTCTACTTTAATTAATTAATATTTAATATATTTTTGTTAAAACACTTAAATTGTTCTATTAAATAATTAAGTGTCGTTGGTATCACTTTTAACTTATATGACTACACAATATTTGTTTTTTAATCCTCGTCAAAATACTAAATTATTTCTAACTTTAACGAATTGCTACTCTGTACTATAAACCTATTTCATAGAAGTTACAAGGACTTATAAAATCTTTATTTATTTTTTTGGTTAAATATTAAAAAGCCTTCGTCAACCAAAATATTAAAGATGATCTTAATATCACATCATAACCATTCCTAATTTAATTTTGTACTTATTATATATATATTAACTTTGAATCTTATATAAACCGAAGATCTAAAAGTGAGCATTTTTTTTTTCAATTATATCCTTGAATGTAAATTAATTATATTTTTGTTTTTGAGGGTCGTTCTAATTGAGTGGATGATACATCTCCCAGAGTGCAAGCAAAAATAGTGGATATGCTGAAATTGAGTTTAAAACTTCAATGAGAAAATAAGTTCATCGAGTCGATAATTTTTTTATGGATTATTCTAATGGAAGTAGTCTAGAATCATTGCGAGAATAAACTTAGAAACTATTTCCTCATAGAATGAAAACAACAATTCAAACTTTTTTACTAAAATAATATTATTATATGAAATTATTTACTTAACTTAACCTCTCATAAAATTATTTATTTAATTTAACTTTTTTTATTGTTATACTTAGAATTTGATTTTTCATAAACAAAATTTCAATTTTAAACTTACAACTTTTTTTTAAATAAAAAATTAAATAAAATTAATATTAAAAATAAAATTTTAATTTTAAAATTTAAATAATATTTATATAAAAATAATATATTATTTAAATATATATTAAATTATTTAAATAATTATAAAAATATTAAATAGTATTTTTTTATTATATTTTTTATTTTTTTATTTTTGAATAGGAAATTTAAAATTTATATATTTTTTTATTATATGAATTATTTAAGTTATAATTTTAGAAAAAAATTGATAAATTTAATATATAAAATATTAAAATTAAAATTAAAAATAAGTTATTAGTAGCAAAATAAAAATGATAGAACATAATATTAAAGAAAAATAATAAAGGTAGAAAAATTTTTATAGAGTGAAAATAATAAGTTATGAAGAAGAAAATCCTCCACAAATTTCTCATGAAATTCAAGAACAACCACACCGACGAAATCCAAAACGTAATAGACGTCGTCCTCATTGTGGACACCACTTTTGAAATTAAAATTTTCTTAACATTATTGTCAATAATTTTATTTTTCAATTTTTATTATCAATGATTATGTTATTTTTAATATTATATATTAAATTCTGTCAATTTTTATTATTTTTTATTTTTAAGTTTATTTTATATTAATAATAATAATTTTTAAATAATATTTTTCCTTTATTATTTAAAAAAAATTAAATTTAGCATGAATTTTTTAATATAATATTTATAATTTATCAAATAAAAACTATTACATAAATTTTTATAATATAATATTTAATTTTTTAATATATTACCTAAATTAAATTTTTATTTATTCTATTTTTTCTAAAATTATAACTTAAATAATTCATATAATAAAAAAATATATAAATTTTAAATT